AAGGGGAAAAGCAGCGAAGCCAAACTAAGGTGATTCTTGAAGATTCATTCCAGTGATGGCGCGACTGAAGCAGACGCAGGGTCTAAAGACTGACGCATTGGTCGCCAAATTACTCCTGGACAGGTAACTTCTGCTTATTCTGAAAACGTACTTTATTTCCAAGAGCTAGTCAAACATTTTTCAGGACACGAAAGCGATATCCTATGTCTGAAAACGTAATTTTCAAGGCAAAGAAAGAGTCCGCTTGCTGCTGCGTGTTGTAGCTAGTTCATTCGTACTGAATCTCCGCGCAACCTTCTCTGCTCCCCTTTCCTGCTCCTGTCCCCGCTGCCCGTTCCGCTCTTCCCCCTGCTCCTCACTTCTCCGGGCACGGAATCTCCGCGCACCGCTCCCCTCTCCTCTCTCCTCTCTTCTCTCCCTGCTCCGCTCTTCTCCCTGCTCCTCACTTCTCGTCCGCGAACGAAATGTCCGCACACCCGCTCCCCCCGCTCCTCACTTCTCCGCCTTGCCTAACCAACACTGTAGTTAGTTGTTTACAAGTCATGTGCAGCTCACCGGCTGTAAACAAACCTGTTTCTGGCGTAAAGAGGAGGCGGGAGAAGGCGTTTCTACGTAGGAGCTGTAGGGGAGGGGGGTGGTTTCACGCATGCGCAACATTTGAAAAAGGACAAACAGTCGCTGGATTTCTCGTTCCTTGGAAAATCCTCTATACAACCTTTAATGCAGTGATGAAAAGGTAACTGCTGCCATTGATTTTAGTCTTAGTTTAGAATCTTGTGATCATGACACTTAATAGTCAATACAACTACAAAAAATCTAGCGTGAATACTGTTAGATTTGGATATTGTTACACCCCTCATTTTTGGTGCAGTTTAATGTGTCTCCAGGGAGAGTGAAGAGGTCATTAAAGCCTTTTCCATGGCCCGAGAGTCAGTGGTCATCACCTCAGGTCAAAGGGCACCACTGCAGACAGGTTGACACATTATCTGTCTTCTCACTTAGTCATGATTAAGTATTTAGGCTCTGCTGGATAAACTGTTATTTTCTTATTTGTTTTATGTAGAACAGCTGCTTCAAGCCTGTGTGACCTCCAGCGCACGAGATGGAGGTAGCTTCGGAATAGACATGTGGAAATGGTTTGTGGTGTTCAGATGTTGTCCACTTTTTATAGTAAAGCTGGAATGATACAGGATCATTCGCACTGCTCCCTTCACTTCATCTTTTAGCAGCAATCACAAAAAGTGTTGCAAAGAGCTTAGTGCAAAAAGTAAACCCAGAAACAACAGACTAGAGGCTGCTGTGACAAAGTATATTGTTTTTGTAACTGATAAACAAGTTTGTGTTAAACATATATAGTTATACAGAGAAAGCTTTGAGAAGGGTTAAGGTGGTTGTTACTGATCTATACATGTGGTTTGTAAAAGTTTAATATGACTAAATAGTTACAAGCAAGTCAAGCCCATAAATAAAGAGAATTGTATTTTGAAAATGAAAATGTTTCAATGAAAGTTATGTAAAAGGCCTTGTATTATGTATTAGGCTCATCTGGACACCTTCTCATTGTTATTTTATGTTGTATAAGTGTATGTATGGAAAAGACCACACTGTCCTCATTTTTACATTCAGAAAGTAAAGAGCTTCACCGCTGGTGCACTGAAGAGTGACACAGTTTCTTCTAAAATGATCGGAATGACTTTGGTTTAACAAGATAGATCGATAAAAATTGTGTTGAGCATTTCAGTAGGTTATGTTATTAAATATACAAAAAGTGGAATTAAGACACAATAATTATTAAAATGCTAAATTAATATAATTAATAATTAATTTGTTTTTCGCATGATGGTTGAAAAATTGTTTTAATCCTCTCTCATCTGAAAGCAGGACTTTCAGTGTGGTCTGATACTGTCCCAGGGTTAAAGTTCGGCTGGTGAAAGCCCATGGCACATTGTAAATGTAAAACATGCCAGTGTGAAACTGCGTCTGGTTTGCACCATTCTTAAGTCAGGTGTCCTGTAGTGCTCTGCTGTTTTGTGTTATGTGGGTTACATTTTTTTCACAATCCAGTGTTATACTCCATCAAAAAACTACGACTTACTCAACAAGGATCATGCTTCAGCTGTGAGACATTCTGCCTGACCGTGTAATTACATCACATTTTATTTAAGGCAAATATGGTTTTATTAAAGTTCCTCTTTAAATCTGTCCTTCAAACCCCGGAAGTACAGTTTGCATAGATATATTATCAAGGTTGTCTGTCCACTGTCATCTCATCACTGTCGGCTGGGTTTTGTCAGTGAAGTGTCAGTAAGCTCCAGCAGAGGGCTGAGATGCTGAGACGGGACAAGTGTGAAAACAGATGTAATTAAAGGCGACTGTGTCATACCCTCACGTTTATTTGAGGAGACACGAGGAGGTGACAGAGCGTGTGTCCACATATGTGCTGTGACACGGTTGACATGAGGTTCTTTGCCTGATCTTTGTATATCTCAACAGCACCCTGGTGGGTGTCACAAACTGGACGTCTGCACCACTTTGAGAATTACCACAACAGAAAGTTGTCATTTGACTTCTCATGTTGCGCTTATGAGGTGACAGTAAAAAAAAAAAACCTTCTAAGAATACAACATAAACTATTTCTGTCATGATTACCTTAAGAAACTAAGAAACTTGCCATGGTTATTATTTATACCATACTGCGCATAGCCCTATTTCCAGAAGCATTTCTATCTTGAAGCATATTTGAGCCCAGCCCCTGATTTAAAATACAGCTATCAGTGAACTGCTCTAAACCTTATCAGCGGCGACGCACAGAGCTGCTGCAGGAGAATAATGAACTCCATCAACGACATGCTGAGCCACCAAAACCTCACAGACGGTTTCTCTTCCTCTGAGCCTCTTCTCCTGGCGTTAAAGGGCTTTACCCCCCACCACTAAAACACCAAAAAAAACATGAAAGACTCTGATCTAAATGCTGTCTGTGGATTCAGAGATCAGTGGAGCTGTTCTTTAATCTTACTGCAATGTCAGAGCAGACAAATGGAGGTTCATGTATTTTTCACACATTCATAAATGGCATTGTATTTTTGTTATACTCTCAAACCCAGATATTGTTGCTCAGATGCACGTCTTGTATTAAGTCATTTATTAAACCGTGTGGAGAAATGAATACCGATCTTTGCTATTATATTTTTTTCACACTATGTAACTTTTCTGGTGCAGGGTCACCACCACCTGCTTGTCTCTATGGCGATATTAGTGCTTTATCTGAAATATTCCACAGTAATTTATCTTGCTGGAGTTTTATTTAAAAAAATATATAAAAATTGATCAAGCTCAAACATTTGCATTCTTAAAATAAGTGAGGTCGCCTCTCCACATATTGATAAAGAAACATGCAATATACCTATATTTCTTATAAAGAAATGTTTAATGCCACACTGTGGAATCCAAAGCTATGACATTTCCATAGAGACAAGTAAGTGGAGGACCCTCCCTAAGAAGTCACACAGTGCACATGAAATTGCTTCCAAATTGAAGTTAGTTGAAAAACAAACAAACAAAAAAAAAAAAAAACTGATTCCGAATATATCCCATAAAATAAAACTTTTGTGGTTAAAAAGCACACCCAATTACTGCTACTTTTTGATGGTACTAGTAGCCACTGTCACTGAAAACTGTTTTAGATCTTCTCATGTTTTGAAAGTAATTTATTCATCTGTGTTTTCTCTAAGCTGTTTTCTCTTTGGGTTGGCAATAACCTATCTTCATCTTTGTGTTGGCTAACCCCGGGTCGTCGCTAATTGAAAAGTTTTGCCTGTGTGCTGTCAACCAATGGTGTGTGTTAGTTAAAGTAGCCAAGCTGCGCCTATTAGCGGCTAATGGCTGCAGCTGAAGCCGTTAGCTGGAGCTTATGCGTCTCTCTCCATCACTCACTCATTATGCAACATTAGACCTGCACGTGGAGGTGCATATCAAACACCTGCATCAACAACAGGTGGGGCAGTGTGCAAACAGAAAGAAAAAAAACAGTTATTATAGATGAAGTTCAAGGAAACTGGGGAAAAAAGTCACTTTATATGACATAAAAAGGATTCCCTGGGGATATGGATTCTCTCATTTAGATTTATTTACAGTGGTGATTATTTCTTAGTTACTCACAAGTTAATTTGTTAAGTTGCCATCATCGCACATAACTAAAACAATAAGATCTGATACCTTGTTTACTGGGCAAAATATTGTATTCATATTTGGTTAAACTATGTTACTGCTATGTTAAAACATCTAAGACATGATCAGTGTTTGAGATTAAAAATCATTTAAGGTAATATCCTATGAAGATGAAAAGTGCAGACAAATAATAGTTGTGTTTTATGCCAAGTTTAAGCCTCTTTTCTATGCAGTTAGCTTTCTATAAATGTCACTTAAGGACAGAGTATTTAGTCACATTCTTAGCGCTATCTCCACT